AAAAAAAAATAGCAGTTACATACCGTTTCCAATTGAATGGAGTCTTTACAAAAAAAGAAATGCTGCAAGCAAATACTTACACACCATGCACACTGTGGTTCAGTTAGTCTGAGTTACCTTTTTATTAGTGTTGTACTGTTCTGAGCACAATGCTCACAAGGAAAATTTTGATAAGCATGATGCCAAAATAAACCAAAACACCCTAAAGTCATTTTTTAGTTGCTTAAAATGATCATGACATCCTGATGTTTTCTTTTTTTTTTTAGGTTAAAGAAAAATATGAAAATAGAGTTGACAGTACATTTAGGCACACTATTAACACATACTGTACACAGATATGCACAATTTTCATTATCATATTCATATATACTGGGGTTAAAAAAAACATGAGCCTTCCTGTATGGAGAGGTGTGCAGAAAGTTAAAGGTGATACCGCCTTCGCCATCATAAGGGACACATTATTCACCTCCCAGTAAGCGAGGCTCCAGTCCAGTCCAAGCCATGTTGTCCTGCTCAGCCAAACAGAGTCCATTGGGGCAGCTCGGTGCAAGCAAATCACAGCAGACGAGGAAGTTTCCGTCCAATGACTGCAGCAGAATGGGGCGCCGTTTAGTCAATGGGGGAGTGGGACTCCCACACTTGCTACAGTAAGTGCTTATTAGTAGTGATTCTAGTGGTCACAAGACACAGCTCTTCTGTGAACCTGTCTCACCCAAAAATTGGGTGGGGGGGGGTCTTTTCAGCGGTCAGTTCATAATAACAAACCTCTTTTCACACTTCACAGGCTTCAATGCATGAAAGAAAGAGCAGTTGTTCAAGGCCACCTCTGAAGTAGCTGTCCCCCCGCCACAGTCTAATAATCATCTCTGATTATTTCTGCAAGAGTCAGCTGGGGATAAATGGGAAAATAACCCCCTGCACACCAAAAAGAAAAAAAAAGAAACAAATCTAAAAAAGAAAAATCAGACTTATAAAACAAGTCTGTAAAATTAAACATTGTACTTTTATAACAACGGAATGTTAAGTTGTCGGGGGTAAGAGGACATCTCTGGGAAAAGAGCTCTCGCTTTTTCTACTATTAAAACAATTTTCAGTAATACAATGATTCAAAAATGCACATGCCTTAAAGAAAAGAAAAAAATATTGCACCAAATCCAAGTCGTTTTTCCTCTGACCAAAGGTGGTTAGGGACACATCTCCATATCTCTGTCCTGATTTCCTTGTTATGTTCAGTCATGTGAAGGAGAGCTACCTCTAGCGTGCATCTCTTGATCAGTGTACACTGTATATAGACTTAAGGCTGGTTCCCCTAGCTCACACTGGCACAGTTTCTGACAGAAGAGGGTTGCATCTTTGTGCTAACCACACACACACGCACACACACACACGCACACATGCACACAGACTTCTGCTCAAGCCAGATACAGAACAGACCAGAGAGTACATTCTTGAATAGTTCCTGACAATAACACACCTCAGTGTGTCGTCACAGCCTCACCTTAAGGGTCATTTAAAGGTCAACGTTGCATTCTTTTTCTTTGCGTGATATGAAACACAGTAATGTTTCCCCAATGTCAGAACAGTACACACACATACGAACAGCATGAGCTTTGGTTGCTGCAGGATATGAGAGTAGCATTAAAAAGGGTTCTTTGATTGGATGATCGAGGGAAGTACAGGTGATCTAAGACTTGAGAGAGAGAGAGAGAGAAAGGGTGGAAGAAAGTCAAGACAAGCACTGAGGCTGAGGAGAAAAAAAAAAAGGATATTTGTCACATTTTAAAAACAGCGGCTCTTAAACCCAGTGCAATCGACGTTTTTTGGTTGCGAAAACACAGTTTGCAAGTGATGTTTGCAGCTTAGATGTCTACAGCATGAGGGTGGGTTTGATTACAGCTGTGCGGCCACTTCGCTGACGTGGAGGAGGACTGCACTGGCCAACAGATAGAAGCAGGAAGGTAAGGCAAGGTGTGGGTCTAATGCTATTGAGTCCTGCAGTTTAAAAACAACGATACCTGTGGTTGGGCTCTCTGGACCATGATAAAGCAGCATCAGCTGGCCCAGAATGACGCTCAACACAACAACAACAAAAAAAGTCTCAAATGGAGCAGGGGAACTAAAAAGAAAACACAGCCAAGTTCAGTCTTGGTGCAAATTATGAGATTTGTGTTTGCGCGCGTGTCCAAGTGTTACACATCCTTCGTTTCTGTCTTGACAGAAATAATCAGCCAGATAAAATAGAGTGATTTCACCTTCAGCAATGTGTGAGGGAAGAGGAAGGGCAGAATTCTCTCTCTCTCTCTCTCTCACACACACACACCCCCCTCAACAACAGTCATATCAATCCCCACCACTGCCACTCACATCCTCAGCTCTCAAGTCTGTGTATCTTATCGGCCCTTGTCCTGCTGCCTCTGTCCTCTCCTGTCACCTCTTGAGGGAGGTGGATTTCAGTTTCTGGTTGTATCTATGGATGCGTGGCGAACGGGAGTGCAGCTTGACAAAGAGCTCGGGGAATTTGTACTGAGGGAACATGGTCTCCAGGAAGCCCTCCAGGAAAACGTAGACTAGGCGACGGTTCATGGGTTGGTACTGAAACATGTCAAAGACGCGGAGGATGCCCTTCCTCGTGGTATCGGCTCCGATGATGTGCTTCAGCTCATCTGAGGAAGAAGGGGGAGGGAGACGTAGATATCAGCAGCGTGAACAAGTTTGGTTCTGTCAGAGGTTACTTCCTGTTAAAACTGTGTCTTTCCTTCCCACTGTCACCAAATGCTTGCTCAGGGGGAGTTTTCTGTTGTTTTTTTATTGTTCTCTCTAACGCTTCAGCATCTTTACTTTTAAGGCGACAGGTATTTGGCGCTTAATAATTAAAACTGAATGAAATTGATTTTTTGTATGAGTTTAAAGCACTGCAAAGAATTCCACCTTTCCTTTGGTTCGCAATAATATTACAACTGGAATTTTTAGTCTGACAGCAGAAACAAAGTAAAGATATGGCACTAAAGAAAAGTGAGCATGAGTCATACAGATGTCCTCACTGCACCTCATTAGGGCTTGGCTACCTTCACATAGACACCTGATAATACAGCCTCTCAATTCTTGTATTTTCTGTGTACAAATATATTTCTAGCCGTGTGCTTTATCAGAGGTGCAAACCATCAAGGAAAGTGTGTAACTGGCAAAATGGTCTAGTTTGATGTCACCCTTTCAGTTTTCCAATATGCTTTCTCTGCCTCATTCTAGTGCGCTGACTCATAATTAGCTTATTGAACAAAAGATGGTTAAACAGCATTTATACCGCCTGGACACAAGAGGGGGGCAGTGAGTTCATTTCAGTCATTTCTTAAAAGCAGACTTGGACAAATCATACAGAGGTCAGTCTCTGGGTGGTTCTCACTAACTTACTCCAGATTCACTCCTAAACTAGAATACTATTGTGCTGTACTTCAATCGTTTCTTCACACATACAAGATATCGTCTTACATCGAAATTGTTTGTCATAGTTTGGAGTGGTAGTACACAGAAGAGCAGTGGATTAAACCCCTTTATTAAAAAGCTGTTGGTGACACCCAGAAACACGTCACAGATTCCTCCGTCTTCACAGCTTTTACTTCCATATTCAGTGGGACGAGCAGGGACTGAGAACTGCTTTTCATTTTAAGTATGAATGCTTCAAAGATAATGAGTAAGTAGATGTGGTTGTCTCTATTTATGGCTAGGTGCTAGCTTTATAAAGTGTGAGTGTGTGTGTGTTTTCACCTGGCATGATTCCCAGAAGGCTGGTTTTGGCAGCTACTCGTGTCCTCATGCGGATGTTCTTGTCCCGGCGGGGCGGGGTCTCAGCTAGAATACCATTGGGCCAGTAGGAATCCCTGTTCGGAGGCGGAGCACTAAAAGTTATACAGTACTCCTCTGACTAATCAGAGGTCTTTAAAACAAAAGGCGATGAGTTACCTGAACCTCTTGACGTAATCTGCCACCTGCTCTGGTGACGTCAGGTAGTCCACATGATCTACGATTTTCCTACAGAAAGAAGCAAACTTTAAATATTTCAAACTACTATTTGTATAAGTGATAACATTTTCCCACCTTTAACTGTATGTCAGTCTTTTTTGCGGGTTTAATGTGACACTCACCTGTTGATTGTGTCCCCATATGTGGCCCTGATGAGTTGCTGCAGAAGGTTCTTAATATTCCTGCGCAGCCACTGGTTCTTCTCTTTGAGATCAAACACCTCGTCCATCAGCAGCAGCATTACCCGGAGTGGGATATTATCATCCACCTGGAAGCAGTTTAATTTAAAGCACGGTTAAAGGAATGAAACAGCAGCACACTGACTCACATCAGAGACTTTTGCAGAGACATGTCAACACAAAGAATGCTGAATTAAAATCTACAGGGTTATTCCTAACAGCAAAGATAATGGCAGAAGGATAAAAGCTTTTCAAATCCTCATTTTAGTGGGAACTTTTTAAGCAGTTTCTCATCACATTTAACTGATGAGCCGATGTTTGTACTCTGAGGCATTTCAAGAAAACTTTGGAAGGACTTTGCTCACATTGTCATCGAGCTGAGCAGAGACTCGACAGTGCTCAGGGTCGATTTCAGACTTGGGGAGGATTGGAGGCACCTGGGAAAATCAGAGGTTAGATTAACGACTACAGAGGATCAAGCGAAGCCCGTGCTTCACGACGTTAACTCAAAACACTTGCAGTATTAAACGGTTCTACCTTCAGTATGGATTGTTTGATATCCTGACCCAGTTTTTCTGACATGCGGCCCATGTTATCGGAGACTTTGGTCACTCCCTCTGCTAAACTGTCTGGGAAGGCTTTTACTGCATTGGACACGTTTCTCATGGAGCTCCGCAGAGGGTTCACAAATGTGTCTATCTGATGGGGGAATAAAACAAAAGCAGAAAATGTACCTTATAGACAAAATGCCAGTCACATGGTGAATAAACAGCTGATCAGTAATGAATGATTCTCCAACATACTAAAACGTTATAACACAATATCTACATATAACATCTACTATAATATATGTAGTAATTAAAATAAAAAACAAAAAAAAAACTGCACAACAGTTAAACAGGTATTTGCATTTGAGAAAAGGAAATACCTTCCGTGCAAACTCTCCTTTGCCCTTGCTATAGGCCTTGTTCTCTAGGAAGTCATACACGTAAGGGATCAGAGTTGGGCAGGCCTTCACCATCTCTGGGTTCAGCAGCAACTGCAACAAATGCGCACCAAGAACTATTAATGGAAGGAAAAATGCATGACAATAAAAAAGAATAACATATATAAACTATCACATAACAACATTACCTGTAGGTAAGCATTGAGGTCTTTTTTTCTCTTCTCCAAGAAGTCTCTGTCCATGTTATTGAAGGTCTTCTTTCCTGGCAGCTTGAGGATTGATGCCAGGTTCTCAAACTAAAGCAGAGCAAGATTACAAACTGAGACTCAGAAGAAGAAAATGCTGCTGATCACTTTCCCTTATTTTCTGTCAGGTTTACATTTATTGTAACAATGTTGGATGCCAGGCCAAAGTTTCTATGATAGAAATAATGAGGTCAGTGTGTCCATAAGTAATTCCAGTGAGTCTGACGTTTAGGCTCACAAACTTGCCTCCAACATTTTTTTCTCTTGTGCCGTCATTGCGATATAGTCACGTCAGCCACCAGCCACCACCGGCCTTTGTTTTTTACTTTAAACCGTGTAAAAGTGGTGTAATAGAGTTAAGTCCCACACACACCTGTTCAGTGATTCTCATATGGAAGTCATGGAAGTCTGAGTAGCGGCGGTAGGTCTTCCAGGCATCCTCACTGCCATCTTGGTTGCGTCTAACCACAGTGATGGTGTACAGTGCGTAGGTCTTACCGTGGTCATTGCACACCCCTGCAGCACCCCAGAAGCCGGGGAGACAAGCATCAGCTACCCGATCCGGTAATACATCCAAAATAGGGAATCGGAAAATGGGGGATGGGTTGAAAAGAGCAGCGGAAAGACAGGAAGTGGGCAAAAGGGAAGTGTTGCAGGTGTAATATAGGGCAGTAAAAGAGCAAGCAAAGGGGAAAAGTGTGTATGAATGGGATAAAAGGGAGGAAAAGTGTAATAGAATGGCAGGAAAGGTGAGGGAGGGAGGGAGGGAGGGAGGGAGGAGGGAAAAAGGAAAAACAGAAAAGTAGTGAAGGTAATGGAGTGATAGAAATAAAGAATACTGGAACAATGTGGCACGAAACAGCAGGCACATGCAGATGAAACGAGCTTAGAGGTGAAATGCTGATAGAAAACATGCAGGGAAGGACTAAAAGGAAGTAACAGATACCCAATATCCAAAAGAAAAATCACACACACACAATTCAACATGTTAGAAGAATATAAAACTAAACCACTCGGTTGGCGTACCTGTGTCAGAGATGAAGGCATGAAGGTGCATAGATTCATCATGGCAGGAATTGGGCAAGTCATCCAAAGACTGAAATCACAGGAAACAAATCATCATAAACTAATAATAATAAACAGCACAGACAGATAACCCATAAATATTAAATGAAAAGGACTCACTAGGTTTATGCTTCCTGTTGGAGAACCATTAAAGGACTCTCCATCACCATCGTCAGACCCTCGGTAGCTTGGCTCTTTCAACATGTCCAGCTCTGCAAGCATGCGGACATAGAGAGGGCTCTGCTTGAAGGACGGGTAATACCGCTCATCGCGTAGCATCATGTCATACACCTGTTGTAAAGTACAAGCAGTAGTATTTGTTAGACTGGGGGGGAAAATGCAGCACAAGCAGGAAAAAAAAACAAAAACAAAGGGAGGGGGGAACCTTTCTCTGGATTTCATCAAATATCTCTGGCGTGGGGTCGTCTTTCCGTAGCTTCTCCCCAAGCCTTGTTAGTGATGCCTCGTCCACCTGCACCCTGGGGGACGCCTGTTAGAGCAGACAGAGCAAAGAGGTTAACTTTTCACATTTATAACTACAGAAATGAAAGACAGCTCTTTAAATTTATCTATAAATAAACGTCCCTGTTTCTAAAAGAGAAGTTCAGACACTGTGTAAAATATAGCTGAAATGAGTCTGGCTTAAAATATCGGAGGAGGCTGTGGATGCATGACATTTTCAGCTACCTTGTCAGAGAGGTATTGTTCATAGACACCCAGTGCAGCTGCCTTCAGCAGCCCTTTAGTGTCACTAGGCTGCTTCTTGCCGTCCTTCTGCCAGCTCTGCATGGCCTCCAGCTGCTGCTGCGCCGTCACCCTGTATCCCTCCACTGTGAGCCAGAAGAACAGCTCGGCCTGGGCCCCCGCTGCCTGCATGAAGTCTGGGTCAACACACAGACAGCATTTAGTCTCCTAAATCATATGATGTACTCACAGGTGTCTGCTTATGATTAAGTCTCTGGCTACACATACATACACGGCAATCACGGCCAGTAAATTTTATACTCCGTATTTTTGGCAGCCTCTGGTTTCTGGCAGCCTCGTTCCTAAAGATCAAGTTATGATATCAAACTTCTACTTGTTTAGTTTTGAGTTTTGCTTTGATCTATGTACAAAAATGTTACACGGCATTTGAAAACCAAGCTATAGCACAAAATGTCTTTCCCTCAAAATTTCTAGATTACTCACAGCTGAGTGTTTGCTGATTGAGCATTTGGGGCAAAAAAGGCGAGTGATTTATTGACAGTTTATGGATCGGACACTGATCAATTGTCAGACAGTTCTAAGAGATATTTGGAGACGGTGAAGTTATGATATTGGAGATATTGGAAAGTCCAACTTTTTAGAATTGCAGCATTGCTTGGCTGTTTTTGTGCACAGGTGGGATTTTCATTCTGACTTTTCCTATGCTGTGTCACAAATTAAAACATTTTAGGCAGCGTAAACGTTAGCATGCTTTTGTTGTTGTTTCTTGGTGCAGCCAAGATCTCAGCTGAAGTCTAGAGTAGGGATGGGTATCGTTTAGGTTTTATCTGATACCGGTGCCAAACCGCTACTTTTGAAACGGTGCCGGTGCTTAAACGGTGCTCAAACCGGTGCTTAAAGAATGGAGAACACAAACTTTGTCCAAAAACCTCTCATGTTCAGCTGTTTTTTTGTAAAAAGATAACAATGTTAGCCTTTTCTGCAGCTATGGGGCATATATGGTATCACTCTTGGCTGGAAGCAGTGCTTAAACAATGGAAAAAACACAAACTTTGTCCAAAAACCTCTCGTTTAACTGTTTTCCACTTTTTCTTTGGTCATTTTAGCCTTTTTGGCCAGGGTGAAGGGAGTATCTGCCATCAAACAAGAAGACAGCCGCATGTAGCTATGATGATGTTTGCTAGTTCACCTTACATGCATTAATGTAATAACGTGGTTAGCCTACTCAACGTAAATTACACACGAACAACATTAAGCTACTCACGCAGAGAAGAACGGCTGCTGCTGCCATCATCATTTCTGTTACACTGGCAGGGCTAGGGGCCAGGACTCTCCTCTTCGGGTTTTTGGGGGATGTTGCTAACTCCGGGTCCGATAACAGGCACCACACCCGCACTCGGTGTGAGGTCTTGCAGCAAGCTATCAAATACGGTGCATTTCTCGGCTTTTAAAAAAACGCTATGCGTCGCCAGGTGTTTCATCAGATTCCAGGTGATACTGTGCAAAGGAGGTAACATCTTAAAGCACTTGTTGCAGGCTGCTGAGTTTGCATCTTTTGCTGTGAAGTACAGCCAGACTTTTGACCGCTTCGCCTTGGGCATTTTTAATCTGTAGCTCTGCTCTAAAGGAACATACGTACCTGGACCTGCCTACTATCCTTGGAAAGGTAAAATGATTGGCTAGAATCCAAAGTGTATGACATCTCAGGAAAAAAAAAAGCACCGAAATAAAGCACTGAAATGTGCGCTGCTTTTCGGTCTGGTTACTACCATTTATGTCAGAACCGAGGTGACCGTGCATTTGCCTTGGCTGCACCCGATTTGTGGAATAACCTTCCTATTGCCATCCGCGCATCCGATTCTATCCAATCATTGAAATCATGGTTAAAAACCTTTTTATTTAACCTTGCCTTTCCTGCTCGTTAATGCCTGTATCTGATTCCTACACTTACTCTATTTTCCCTTTTATACATATCTTTTATGGCTTTGTGCTTTTAACATGTTTTTACTTGATATGCATTTTATGCTATTCTTGTGTGTTAGTGACATTGACCTGTTAGCACATTTGGTACTTTGTTATGGTCTTATAGTATTTATGTTTTATTTTCTTTTATGTGAAGCACTTTGGTATATCGTTGGTTTTTAAATGTGCTCTATAAATAAAGTTGTATTGTATTGTATTGTTTTTGTCATTATGTTTAGGCTAATCGTAATTCTCCAACCTTTAAAGATTCTCACACCGACATAAGCGACAGCAAAAGAGCATGTCTAAAAAAAAAAAACAGAGGCTGGAGTCCTACACTAAAGCCCTAACATTCATGCGTTAGGGCTTTAAAAAACATATGATTAACAGAAAAGTTCAGAGTTATAACTACAGTGACCTTTGGCGTCTATGTGATACGTGAGGTGTTGATGCACTTACCCATGAAGAACTGCAGGGCTATGTTGTGGACGAGGATGTGATCCAGCGGGATGACACACAGCTTTCCAAAGTTGGCTGCCAGCTTAAAGGCATCAACCTCCTACACAACACAGGAACCGAATAAGTAAAGAAGAAGAGAGCAAAGCATTAACATAACCAACGCAGACTTTGAGCAAAACCAGCTGACAGCTGTGCAGACAAGGCTGTGCGATGCATGTTTACTCCCCTGCAGTTTCTCACCTTGCCAGACTGCAGTCTCTGGATCCTGGTCTCACACACCTTCTTCACAAACAGAAGACTGTTGATCTGGTTCTTGATCACATTAATGTCTGAAGGACAGAGAAACAAAAAGCCATCAGGGCAGAAGAGGAAAGCAGTGTGCTGTTTCAATTAACATTCTGTAGTTAGTGAATGAAAACAATCAGTTTTGAGTGTGTGTGTCTGATGCAAATGGAAAGAAAAAAGCGAGCGCCCACCGTCTCCAGCAGTGTCCAGGGAGCGGAGAAACTGCAGCTCCTCCAGCACCTTGTCTCTAACGGCCTCCAGCTCAGCAGGCTTATCTGTTAACTTCAGGATGTTCATGAAGGCTTCATAGTTACAGCTGTTATCCCGGATCTACACATAAAACAGGACATACAGCTACAAACACCAGCACCAAATCTCATTTGGTCTCCCAACCCTTAAATTAAACTGTTTCTTGGACAGTTTGGGGTGGTGTTAAACCTCACCATCCATATGACAAACTGGTTGATGTAGTCTGGGTCACTCAGCTGGTTGATCAAAGGAAGCAGCACACCACGCGCTAGCACCTCCTAAAAAACACACCACAGTGTATTTCCAGGCATGCTCGCTGTAATTTACACTACAAACATGTCACTGCACAGCACATTCAGGGGGATGCCGTGGCGGCCTGGCAACCAACATGGCAGCATTTGGCATGTGGCTTTTTTTTGTGATGAACACACAAACACTGGTTAATGGCATACATATGCATTTTTTTATCTCTTATTTGCACCTCACACTAGTTTTTTTTCATGCACTCACCCTTAGGAAGTATCTCATATTCTTATTGTGGAAGTCTCCAGGAGGTAGTAACAGGTACAGAAGCAATTCACACAAGTCCCGAAGAAACCCTGACACACACATGCAGAACAGGGTTACAAGCTAGAACAAAAAAGTTCCTCATAACTGTGAAATGTAAGGCCAGAAACAGAGGCGTGTTTACCTTCTTCATCTTTGTGTGAGGTGCACACAACATCTCGACAAATCTTCCTTTCCATCTCCACCTCAGCCTCAAAGAAAGACTCCATCAGATCATCTGTTATGTCCCCTGTTCAGAAATCACTATTTAGTTACAGTCGTCACTATTCTTAAAAACAGCTCTCAAGACATGGCAAACACGTTAATAACTGCAGGGAGTGTGATGTATGCACGTACTTAGTTTGTCTTCTCTGTCACCGAGGCGATCCTGGGCTTTTCTGAAAACACGTAAATGTGTGGCAAAGTCGTCCACCAGGCGAGTGGTGAAGTAAGGCTGCCAGTCCACCTCTTTGGACCTTTGCATACAAATATACACAAAATATAGATTGCTTGATTTTTTACTAAATATATTAGACATATAATGCGTTTGAATGTGTGTGTGTGTGTGTGTGTGTGTGTGTGTGTGTGTTGTACCGTGTGGAGAACTGGACAAGGGCATTTTGCAGCGTCTGTCTGATCTCTAGTAAGAAGGACTCATCTTCACTCAGGGTGTAGTACCAGTATTGGATGTAGTCTCTCAGTGCAAACTGGATCACCTAAAGAGACATAAGGCAAAGTGAGGAGTTAGGCAAAATTCTGTAAAGACAATTCAGACTGAGTGAAGTGAGAACTAGAGAGAGGGATCTGACTGAATTGTCAACACAAACCTGGATAACCCTCTGATTCATCGAACAAACATGGAAGTAGATAAGAACAGTGATTAAAAGTCAAAATGCCAAGGTGACCATTTTAATCACATTTTCTGAAATAATCTCCACCGATAAACTGCCGGTAAGCAGAAATCTCACGACAGCTCAATTACACAGGAGCTGAGTAAACAGGAAGCAGAGGGCTGGCTGTTTGTGCAAAACATTACAGAGACACAACATTAATGGAAGACTGAAGACTTCTTTGTTTAATTCAACAATGAGATGAAAGTGTTACTGTAAGTATAGGGCTCGGGATTATACTCTCTTAAGGATGCACAGATGGGAGTACATGGATACAGATACAGTTTTATTCACCCTTTGATGACAATATCTATGCCACTTGAACTCAAACAGACCACATTACCCCCTCAGTTGGTAGAAAACAGGGCTTTGGTGGTATAAAAGAGATTGGGAGCGACTGCAATGTGAATAACTGTATATATTGCTACAGTAAAGGGAACAAGCAGTCATGTGCAAAAGGTAATTTTCACAGCTGCCAAAAACTAAGTACAACTTTACTGCTTTCATAGCTATTGAGGGTCAGTAACACCCAGGTGCTGCTAATCAAGTGCCATGTGAGGCAGCAAGGCTTAGGCTTGCAAAGTTGCATCTGAACAAACCACAAGACTTCTGGAACAATGTGCTTTGAACAGCCCAGACCAAAGTGGAGACATTTGGCCCCGAAAACCAAATACAGCAAATCAGCACAAACACTTCATACCAACAAGTCAGCACAGTGGTGGAGGGGTGATGATATTGGCTTGTTTTGCAGCCACTAAGTCGACCGTGAACTCCTCTGCATGCCCAAGTATTCTGGTTAAAGGTGTCATCTGTCCAACAACTAAGCCACTTAAGCCTGGATCAAACTGGGTCATGCAACAGGACAGAAAGTCAGAGAAAGTCCAAACCTCAACCTGACCGATAAGATCAAACACTAAAATTCCTTGATGACACGATTGTCTGCAAAATCATTTACAAAAAAAAAAAAAAAAAGGACACCAATTCTGCAATAAAACACAAACCAGGACTTTTCTAACTAAAACTACACCAGCAATGTTTCTGACTGGAGCTGTGGATGCCAAGTATAAACCACGTAAAAAGTTACAGGTTTTAAAATGAAAGGGTGTGGAAGTCCCATCAGCTCAAGCTACAATATGAATCAGTGCAATACAGGATGAGAGGGAGCTGTGACTAATGAAAAAAAGTGCTTATGTGAGCACATACGAGAGGGAAAAAAATGCCCAGACAATGTGTCAGAAAATAGTGACCACACATTTATTTCAGGGCGCAAGATGCAGCATTGTGCGACTTTACATTTCTCTGTGCAAGATCTCAAGGTTCACATGGAACTGAAAAGATAAATGAGAATTCCTAGAAACGGGCGAGGGGAGAGGAGAGATGCCATGCTAGAGCCGTTAGCGTCATCTGACTGGCACTAACTGCTGTGTCTGCACTTAACTCTGCCGGCCACACCGCTTTGCTGAGGACGTGCTAAAAAGTTTTCTGCTGCAAGTGTGGTAATCACAGAGCGGCATGGAAAGAGAAACTGACTAATAAACACAAGCCACAAAGTCGTTCTTTCCATTCTGCAATGCTTGCATAGGAACCATCAGTTAGACGATCAACTTGCAAATGTGTCAAGATGAGTTAAAAAAAAAAAAAAAAAAAAAAAAAAAGCAGTACAAACACTGTTGCATCACATGTCTCACATGTCTGCAATGTCCACAGTTTACAAAGGACAAATTACACAAAGAGCTTTGGTGTAATCGTACAGAGTTTCCAATGATGTCAGACTAGTTGTCTAATAAAACAATAAAAAGAATCTCACTGTGAAAAAGTCGCTGTGTGACAGATGTAAGGATTTTTATAAAAAAACTGGGGGGAAAAAGACAAAACATTGCAAGCTGTGCCAGAAAATAAACATTTAACAACACCGGAGGAGCTTCGTTCTGCTTAATGTGAAGAATGCCTCTGCAAGCATGTACCACCAACATGGTTTCTATTACAAAGCACGACACTGGTACACAAAATAATTTAATTAAGTCATTTTATAATTGAATCATGTCACATTTTCCTGCTTTTGGCATGTTGGAAAAATGAATTTTGCTCTGACAAAACAATACATCACAAGAAAGACACAGAGCTCACAGAAGAAAACACCTGAAATGCAGACGTTACTGGGTCATGCAGTGTTTGACAGCCAGTACTTCTCTCTGATGCCATTAAGTCACTGACCTGGGCCAGCTGAGCTGATGGGTCAGACAGAGATTTAAAGGAGCCGGAATCCAAAAAGTCTGGAGTATTAGCATTTGTCAGGCAGGGACCTTCTCTAAGCTTCTCCCTGTAGCTGCTGTCCCATTATCACAAGTGCACTGCCCACTCTTAGCTGGGTGGGCAGTGATTAAACCTCTCTTAAACCCACATTAGCTAAAACTTTTTATTGTAAATGTCTGAATGTTACACAAGTAAAAAAAAGGTGTTCTACCATAATTCTTTCAGTTTCCTGTAACTGCCTTTGGGCTAATTTGTATGTAATTCCTTATAATGATTTTTGACACTTAGTCTCATTAAGGTAATAATAGGCCCTTTTTTTAGTGGGCTGGAGACATTAATGTAATGAGCTGAGCCAAAAATGTGACATCAACAGACTGAATGGAGTGGCGTCACTGCATGAATCATGACTCCTTCACAAGAATCAAACCTGGCACTGAGGAATATGGACATGCATGCCGCCTCCTTGGCTCTCTAATTTTAGGAAGTCTGACAAAAAGCCATACACCGAGCAGCACGTATAACATCTTCATGTGTTCCGTTTTTGTGTAATTATCAAATGACATCGCAGGATGTTTGGGCCACCTTGCTGTAACAACTCTACCTACATTGAGGTGGTACTCAAATTTAATAGAAAATAACCAAAACTGAGTAGAGCAAAGTCCAGCAGTGTTGAGTAGATGCTAGCGGAAAAGAAGCTTTAATGATCATGAGTGTCATTTTCTGAAGTTAGACCCAGCTCCTTTAAAGGCAGTGCTATCAAGGCATTACAAGTAATATAAAATTTTGAATTTAGAAAATAATACTTATCAAAACTCAACCAATTTCTTGCAAATTATTAGCTAATCATCTTATAAAATGTAAACATGCACTTGCTGTGGTAGTGACATGATGAAAGGGGCAAGGTGTGCTTATAAAGAAATGAATACAATTAGTACTGACACAGAGCTTTGGCCATGTGTTGTATGCCATACGATAAAACTGGTCATCTATGCTTCCCTACCTATGAAACACATGTACAGGGAATCACAAGACCTATCACAAACACACACCTGCTGTAGTGGTTCATCTATGAAACTCGAGCCTGTGAGTCTTCTGTCAATTTTTATAGGCTTCATCTCCAGCTTCATCTCATCCAACGTCTGAAAGAGACAAAACATAACCCACAGTGAGACAGGAGTAAAGTAATCAGAGAAAACTTTAGTGACCTCCGTCAGGCAGTCCATCTGGCAGGCCGGGTCATCTGTTTGTGCAGGCGAGGTCGAAGTGCGTGTATTTTACCTTCAGTATACCAATTTGTGTGGGTGGTAAGTACGAGTGCTCGCACTTTTCCAGGTGTTTCTCCGAGTTAATCTTTCCATAAAGCAAAGTGACCGCAAAGCCCCTGCAAAACAGAAATGTAATTTAGAAATCAGCAAAAAACTTATGAGCCAAGCTCCTGATGTGTTGTGGTTAACTGTGAAGCTTAAAGAGGTTAGATTGGCTTCAAACGTCTCACTGCTCACCCTCCAATGAAGCAGAAGATATAAAAGGCCAGGTAGAATATGGCAAAGGGTCCAAAAGTGACAAGGAACAGCACAACTCCAAGACCCCCCCATCCCCAGATGGACAGACTGGCCTGAAACACACAAGACAAAAAAAAACACATACTCAATACACAATTCAATTCACCCCATACTCAGCTAGACTGATGATAATATTCTATAAACACATATAATGACCATCAATGGTCCTCCACAGAGCAGAGGGGAGGGAGATGTCTGCGCAGGAAGACATTACATAAAAGAGTGTCAGACAGAAACTGTGTGTGTGTATAATCCTGTACAATCACATCCTATGGTGTTCCTGTTGTTGTCAGTACAGGAAACAGAGCTCGTTTCAACCCTTTTCCAGCTCCAACTTTAGCCCATAGTTACTTGAGTATCTCCTTTTTTAGCCTTATCATATTAACAGGTACAGAAGAAGCTTTTTAAAAAACAAAACAAATGAAAACACAAGCTATACTGATAAGTTATGTCCCCTAAGTGTATGCTTAAGGTCATGATAGCAGGTATGAAACCTCAGGAGGGGTCTGCTGCACATATTAAACCAGGCCGCGGCACCTTAGAAAATAGCTGTGAATGTGTTGTTATGAGTTACACCTGCTTATACAAGGATCCTTAAATGTTCAAGGAAGCCTTCAAAAATGTTCTCACTTTGACGCCATCAGATAGAGTCACTGACAGGCATCACGATCAGTGGTGATGATCTTCGGCTGCCTTACATTCATGTTAGAGTTCCTTAGATAAACAAATCCTGTGACGGAGCCAGAGAGGAGCACACAGAGCTTCCTTTGGACACTGAGACATTGTTCTCACTGTTACAGTCGACTGCCACCAGTCGGATGACACACATTAGACTAGCTGCCAACAGTGTCACATCCATAAACAGAGGCCAGTCAGTTTACTGTGTAGATACAGAGCTAGACTAATTAGTAGGGCTGTTCGATATAACGATATATATGGGATGACGATATAAAAACATCTATCGTTTCATTTTATGCTATCGTTTGTTTCGTGGTGTTGCAAAATAAACGTTTACGGCAATGTTTTTCATCGTTTTGATTGTCACTGTAGTGGCTATATTAATTTCTTAAAGTTCTCTCTTTCGCTCATATTTCAGATAAACACACTACGGACAGACAAGCGCCTGTTTTTATGCATTGTCGTTAGCAACGACGGTAAAACCATCGCGTGTCTGCTTGTTTATGTTCCACATAAACCTTTCACAATAAAGCTCAAGATCTTGATGAGACTTTTCAAAAATAAACTGAATCCCGTGAAAGAGTATGCAGAGTATTTACGGATGAGAAGCAAAAAAGAGCCGTCAGGTGCTGAAAAATAAACCTTGGATTCAAACGTTAGAACAGGCTTTTACGCTGTGTAATAAATACTCACAAAGAAAACGGCAGCCGTTACAACTTATGTCTAAAAATGCATCTGTTAGGTTTTGTATTGTTGATTGTCATTTATGCTTAGAAATATTTACTTATGTATGCTTAGAGTTTTATAATTAGTTTTAGATTAGTAAAGATCAAACCCCTAACAGTCTGCAAACTTTGTGTGCACACCTACATCCTGGGAGCATGGGGAGAGGTCGTACCTTGTCTTATTGTTTTATGGTAGGATAAACGTGGCTATATTTGTTTTAGGCTAAGTGCCTTTTGTTTAGATGAACTGCTGGACTTCCAGACCAGCAGGTTTAGGGAAGTTATTTATGGGGTCACACTCTGACCCCCCCCCCACACACACACACGGTACTCTTTGTTTGTATGTAGACGTCATATGTTAATGAACCTATGCATATTTATGTAACCTCAATAAAAGAGCAGTGTTACGGGGGAACGGTCGAGAGCAACTGGGGTCAAGCGAAGGAACGGCGTTTGTCCAGTTCTCTCCCGTGCACGAGAAACATGAAGAACTTTGCCTACTTCGTGTCTTGCTTGCTGTGTAATTATATTGTCTTCAACGTTCCAGCGAATAGGTTCAAGCTACAAACCTATCAGCATCCTTTAATGCATCGGTTAAAACACTCTGCTCCAGGTACACGACGCCCAGCTGGAAACATTTCATGCAAGTCGAGCTGCCCGATATTCACAGAATTTACAAAAAATGTTAAAACTTTGTGATTTATATTGTTATCGGACGACAGATGTCTTATATAGAGTTTTGGTCATATCACACAGCCCTACTAATTAGTGCCAAATACTATTAAGGCATATGGACAAATGAAAAGCATAATGAAGAGTAATCTGTGGCTCCACAGACATGCAAATGCACAGTTTTCTTGCTTAACGCTAAAAGATAACTTAGCTATCCAAACATCCATCTTCTTCAGTTCATCCAAGGCCTGGTTCTGGGGGCAGCAGTCCAAGCACAGAAGCCTAGACCTTCAGTTTATCTGGGGAACACCAAAGTGCTTGGGGGCCACCCGAGAGACATAATCTCTCCAGCGTGTTCTAGGTCTGCCCCAGGGCCTCAGACTTGGAGGTGCCGATTCTCACTCCCGGTGCTTCACACTCAGCTGTAAATTGCTCCAGTGCGAGCTGGAGGCCACCACTTGATAAAGCCAACAGAATCACATCATTTACGAAAAGCAGAGACGAGATTCTGAGACCACCCAAGTGGAAATCCTCCGCCACTTGACTACGCCATAACAACTATGAACAGAATTGGTGATCTAGATAAATGATGATAAAAGAGGAGTGAACATGTTTGAATTAATGAACCTCAATTTACAGTACTGGCTTAAATGTACACTCTACACTGTAGCCTGATGTGAAAAGTACACATATGAAAGCTATGTTAGGTCTTTCAATAATATCCAGTTACACATTTTGTTACCATTATAATTTAGGAGTAAAAATATGCTATATCTACGGTAAATGGACTGGTTCTTATATTACACTATTCTACTCATCATAGCACTTTACTAATTGACTCATTTACCAATTCACACAATCACTTTTTTCTATGCTCTTTCTATGTAAGTGCTTTCATTCACGCACATTCATTCTCTGACAGACACATTGGAGAGCAACTTGGGGTTAGTATCTTGCCCAAGCATATTGTGCCATGCAAACAAATGCAGGCTGCATGAACACCAACCTTCCGATTAGCAGAAGACCTGCTCTACCACCTGAGCTACAGCCACCGCCCATGAAGACCGTGAGGCACCAATCTGTTTATTAACTTAATTAGCACTGGTGTCACCAGTTTTATGCATTTCAGTTTTAAAACAACGACAACAAAACAAACCGCACAATATTCATTACCTTTGTGACAATTGTAATAGCAGAAGAATACACAAACACCAGCACATTGCCCACTGCAATATTGGCTCGATGGAGGAGTTCAAGACTATAAATCAAGCTTCAAGCTACTGTGGAGGAGCTGCTGTGATGCATTGACAGATTATGACGTTAAGGACCAACAATGGTCAGAGCTATAGGCAATAGAGAGGTATTTTTTCCCCACTGATGCATTACTCAATATCATTCATAATAAATTTAATCTGTCTCGCTATAGTTTGATGTCGCACATGCAGCCCCAGAGCACACAGGTAAGTGCACACACATTATTGCAAGGTGTACTTACGAGGTAATTAGAGGAAACAGGAGGATATTTCAAACTTCAGCCTGACATTTTTGTTTGTATGGCAGAACTCTAATTAAAAATAAGTTAATAAATTAAATTAATAAATTAAAAAGAAAAAGGAAAGAGCCAGTGAATTTTATGACATCAGCGATGTCATAAAAACCTGCTATGATGTACGACTTGGAGATGGCTGCACTGAAAAAAACAGACAGGAGACCGAACTGCAGGTGGCAGAGTTGAACATGCTAAAATTTTATACAGAGCTGCCAAGCGGGAGGAAAAGAAGAAGATTCCTGCATGCAGTAAAGGAGGACATGCAAAGGTTTGGTGTGACTAAAAAGGATGCTGAGGATAGGGTGAGATGGAAGCAGATTATCTGCTGTGGTGTCCCCACAGGGACAGGCCTGAAGAAGAAGAAGAAAGGGACAGGTATCCTAACATCTGAGTCATGATAGGTTTAAAGACAACTATGAAGCTTCTTTTCATTCAAAGCAAAGTTCCTAGACGCAGGAATGCTCAGTGAGGAGTACAATGTACAACTCTCTTTTTTGTCTACTACAGAGCCCAATATGTTTATGAATGTTTTTCATGTTAAAAAAATGTGAAATATGTACATTTTAGAATGCAATGCCCACTTACTTCATACAATATCTCTGAATTTATAGATTATGAATTTAAGTAGTCTAATACTGGTTGCTATTGTTCAGATGGGTTTGCTTGCTGACTTGACCTTGTCAGCATGAACGTCTTTATTAAAACTGGCCATAATTGTTTGTCCTGGTCCAGAACTGGAGCAGATAAAACTAGAACAAACACAGCCTCTCAGTTGGATCAGGTTTGAAAAAGCTGATAATGGGCAATTTGAAACAATAACTTCACTAGTACTGGTTCAGATCTTAAAGCAAGGCATTTTTAAAGTCTTACTCTGAAGCACTTTGGACCGCATATGCGCACGAATAGTGTTACATAAGTAAATCTGACTTGAGGTGAACTTGTGACGTCCCTCCTCACCACATCAGCTGAGGCTAGTTTCACAGTAAATAGGATAAATTAAAACCTGAGGCTGATGGCTGTCATTGAGGACCTTCTGACCCTGATGTTGCTTACTCATCAGAGTCAACTAGACAGACACTGACAGTGTGCAGGCCAAGACATATGGGTCACATTAACAGAACAGCAGGATCTTTGAGAGTGCCTTGGAATAAATGCTGCATACCTGCCTGTCACTTTGTTTACAAATGTGGTTATGGGAGAGGCAGGAAGTATTAGAGGACATTTATATGCAGTGTACTAACCCTGTTGGGTACATGCAGTTCTCCACCCTATATTTCACCCTGTCTTGTACCAAGGGTGACATAATTTCACTATCTCCGTTGCATAAGACATTGCAGTTTTTCTTATTGTTGAAACACCTTAACTGACTACACAAACACAGGAAGGACAATTTCCAACCTTTTCCTCAATTTCTTGCCTCTATTATAAAAAGCACAATTTTGATCTATATGGATGTAAAGAAAACAACAACTGCGAACATTGAGTATAATAAAATGTCTCAAACTTATATGAATAAACTGAAGTCCAGGCTGCAGAATGTGTTCAAACTGGCTAGACTAACCCTCTTCCTTAAGTCATAAAGGGCGAGAACAAAGTCACTGATTGCAGGGTTGAGAGGAGAAATAGGGCTGGCCAAAAGAGAGAACCATTATTACAATTTAACTAGGAGTGTAGCAACACAGAGGAATGCTTTTCAGAAAGGTTGCCACAAAATGTGACCATCAAAAACAGATCCACGTGTCCTGATATCTAACACAACCAAGAGAACTATAACATATCAGCCAGAATCCTTTAATCATTTAAAGGAGATCCAAATTAAACCGCCGTGCAAACAAAGAAACAGTCTGAACTGTTGTTCAATTTCCTCCCACACGTACATCACAGGGAACCAAGCAGGTACATTTTCAGGAGAGTTTGAAAACTTTTTACCAAACCAACAAAGTCATATTTACTACCATAATCTACATCCTCAGCCTGATGGTAGTAAAGAACAATTATAATACATCACCATCACACACGCTAAAAGTGTGATGGTGTAGTAGTAACTTATGGATTTTGTTAAAGATTTTTGCTAAACAAGATCCGGGTCCAAAGTTAGCAAAGCTAATGCTTGTGACTAACATCTGAATAAAGGCAGAGTGCAACTAAATTTAGCCCACGGTGGAGGGGCAACCAACTTTCCACTGACTTTGTATTTGGTGAAGGTGCCTCCCTATCAAGTGGCTTCACTAAACTACAGCAGCTTGTCAACACGGAGCCAACATCAGACGTAACTGAAGCCAGCTAGAAGCATTTCATTTGCATTTCAGCTCCTAGATACGTATAATATTTATTTGTGTTTTCCTTCCAGCTGGTGCAGAGTGTAATGTGTTGTGCTTTGTCTATACTAAAATAGGACCAAAACAGCGACATATGTAACTGTACTCACCAGAGCAAACCACAAGCTATGCTGTGCTTACTGCAGCATCCAGCAGTTAGTTAGGCAAATCATTTTATTAATCATCTTAAACATGTTTTTTAATAAATAACACAAAAGGTAAGTAATGTGTACACTTATGAGAAAGAGTGTTTTTAGATGTACTGAAGCATATACAGTCTGATCAATTACACCCTTTAAAATTCTGTGACTCCTGAGAAAGAGACTGAATGTAGTTCAAAAGGGAAATGCAAGTATATGTTTGACGTCAGTGGTGCTAGTAAGCAGCAGTGAATGTGCACGCTATCAGTAGGACTGTGTGATGAGACTGTGGAGGCTTGGCTCTGTAGAAGAGATGATAACTGACACTCGTGAGTCATTACAGCTTACACAGAGCTTAAAACATGAACCATCTGTTCCAGTGATTAACACCCAAGCCCATCAGGGATCCTCACATCTGAATATCTAGGCAATTCCTTATGCAATACACACTAAACAGACACTCATTAACACAAAAGTGACAGTATTAAAGGCACTGGGCGAGATCACAGATGCAGATGGGCACTGAAGTACCGCTCTCATGCATTTCAAATTGTTAAAAAGTGGCTGGATGTTACAGCATGGCTTCAAAGAGAATTTCAGAAGACATGTTTAAAAACATCTGTCAAAACCTGCTTCATCATCCTGAAAGGATGCTCAGGGATAAGAATCATTACCTGTGTGAATATGCTGGCCAAGGATCAAATACAAAAATATAATTGTGGACTTTACTAGGCTTCAAACAAAGACATATTTTTATTTTCTAAACTTTAATATAACCAATTTAATATTTTGAAATGAATCTATATATTTGTGTTTTAATATTTCTTACAAATTTACTTACAAAGAAGTAGAAGACAATCTAGAATTTAAAAGGAGTAAAACACACAGAGGCAGTGTGTTTTGAAGAACGCTCTGGATGCCCTTGACTCCAGGCACATTCAGATATTCACACGTAGCCTCTTATCAGTGTGTCTGAGAATATTTTTTCCCTAACTTTCCACCATGGACGTGCACACACACGCATGAAGAACTACTCAAGGGTGGATATTTCTATTTTTGTGATCAATGTAAGTCCTCAAGTGCTTAGCTGCAAACCCTGGGTAGTGTAGTCATTAGGTGAAAGGTTAACTCGGCCCATTAAAGCTCTCCTGTGGGAGATCATGCCTGAGAGAGAGAGAAAGTAAATGGGTCTGACTGATCGTGCTGGCCTAATCCACCAGGACCACTGAAATGCAAAGAGCTGCTATATTAACCTTAGGATCAAAAAGGCAGAAGTAGTAATGATGTTAATTTCCAGAGAAGACAAGAAATGTTGTAGTTCACTTCTCTCCAGGATTTGAACTTTATTACAAATTAATAACAGCATACTAATGACCCTGAAAACTGAATGAGCAAATGGTCCAGCTTGTTTTGTCTAGTTCCCCTGAGTTGTGGTTTGATACTGTTATTACCCTGGGGAGGGTAAAGTAAGCCACACCCCTCCTCTGTCACAAACAGTGTCCCCAGCTGCTACTTTTCACCTTCCAGTGAGAAGCAGCTCCAGGAAGGCAATAACTGGTTATTTATACTCATTATGTATTCAGCTAGTAGCGATCATCAGGTTGGCAGTAACCCAACTAGAACTGAAACTGTAACACACAACCAATGAGCATGCGGTGGGAACGGAACTTAAGCCTTATCGAGGCGCTGCAGTAATCATGACTGTTAACAACTCCAAATCTGATGAATCATGTGAGCTGCGTCGTGTCTCGGCATGACCTAGACACACTGTACATACATCTGAATGAAAAGACAGGTCTGAACAGAGCTTAATTCATGAGAGCTGTGAGCCTCTTTGGCAGGGAAACAACTTGAACAGCACGTAGAAGGAAGAGGAGATACACTAGCAGGCCTGATGTGACAGCATGCTGGACTTAATATCTACCAAGCTTTGATTAAGGGAGCTTAACGAGGTTTAGCAAGTGCTAAAAAGCACAGAGATAACGCTGTGTGGCTGTGGACGAGCACACGTGCACTCCCATCAAACTCAATATACAAAGGTGAATTGATCAAGTTGTGTAGACAGGCCACTCACTCACAGAAGCAACTGAACTACAAAGGACTACATAAAACAAAGCGATATCTTTCATTGATTTCTTACTAAGGTTACCAGAGACTAACATTTCCAAATAGCAACTAAGCCAACTAAGTGTAACACGTGACTGCCCACCTCACCTGCAGCTCAGATGAGGTGGGCAGTCTGCTCTTTTAGCTGTCCTTTCAGGTCGCTAAACTGGGGGGCATCCCGTGAGATGTAAAAAAAAAATCTCTGCAACCACTGATCAACAACAATGGCCTTTATTAATATTTCAAGACAAGCATGCGTTAGGCCGTTTAGATGTGTATGAAAGGAGGGAAGAAGCCCGTATGACTGACAAGCTTATCCACTACATCTCAACTTGACATCAGTCATTAATGCCTGAAAATTGATTTCCCACACCATTCACACTGTCTGCATCTAGGTGTAACAGCGCAACACGTTTATTATCGACATAAATGTTTGCATCCAATGCAGATTGATCAACAGTGGACCGCAACTGCGCCGATACAAAAATGTAACTTTCCTTAGTTAGTCTCTCTAGCCGTCAGCCAATCTAACGCCCAGCTCACCTGTATTCGTTGTAATGTAGAAATTCGTTTGTGAGTATCTTCATTCATAATATAAACGCAGACTACCGACATTGCCTGTGTCGAGCTAATTCCAGCGCAGTGTTGACAGTGCGGATATCCTAAGCCCGTCGTATTAACTTAGCGTTAACGGTGTAATCCCGCGCTGACTGCCACTTATAGCTGACATGCTTTGTGAAAACACAGCGGCAGCGAACAGTCCTCTCTCCCGGCTCCCGTGTTTACCTGCGGGGCTAGGCGCTAGCTGCTCCAAGCTAACTAGCTATGTCAGACACAAACTACTGTACCAACACGCGCGAGACTTTTTCACGGGAGATAACTTACCTCTGCAAACATCGTCTAAAAGGCTGTAAGTTGCGGCGGCTCTGGCTAACCCCACCACATTGTAACATGCGAAGAGGAGGTGATTTTCTTGGTTAAAATCGGTCGTATTTCCAATCTCCGTACTGTCTTCGGAGCGTCGCCATGTTTGCAAGGTTTACGTCGTGGGTGCCCCGTTTCTGGACGTGGTCACGCCATTGGCTGGGAGGCGATGACGCCACATGCAGCGATAATCACGATTGGCTGACCTAAATAAATTATTAGTTCACAAATTTCTGACAGACTGTACCCAAACTGTAAGTCATTTTCAGCCAATGTTTTTTTTTTTTATCTCTTGTTATCTCGCACCAGGCCTTATGAAATAGAGAAAATAATAAACCATCAAGTTAACAACAGCATTAACAGTTTCCAGTAAATGCAATTACAGCAAGTCGTTGAAGCCTAAAGCATCAGCAGACCATCACACTACCAGCCCTATGATTGACTGTTGACTGTTTTATGTTCTTATTATGAAATGCGGTGTTAGTTTTACACCAGATGAAACCAAATCTAAACCTTCCAAAAAGTTCAGCTCTTTTTCTTGTAATGCCACAGAATATTTTCCCAAAAGTCATGAAGATGATTTTTGCTAATGTGAGTCAAGCCTTTGACTTCTTTTTGGTCAGCAGTGGTTTTCTCTTTGGATCTCTCCCATGGTTGCCATTTTTTCCCACGCTCTTTCTTATTGTTGAATCATAAACTCTTTAGATGTTTTTCTGGGTTCTTTGTGATCTGGATGAGTCATCGATGCACTCTTGGGGTAATTTTGGTAGGTTGACCACTCCTGGGAAGGTTCACTACTGTTCCAAGTTTTTACCATTTTTAAATAATGGCTCTCGTCGTGGTTCACTGGAGTCTCAAAGCTTTAAAAACGGCTTTGTAAACCTTTCTAGACTGAGGGACGTCAATGAATTTGTTTCTCACCTGCTTCTTAAGATTGTGGCAGTAAGTGCTGTATTTCTAAATCTTTTAGCCTACTTCACTTTGACTTGCTCTATTTAAGTGATTTCTTGACTCAACAGGTCTGGCAGTAATCAAGCCTGGATGTGGCTACTTAAACTGAACTCAGCTTTCCAGAAAATCTAGTTTATCACAGTCAGTTCATGGCTTAGATAGCTTTTCCCTTAATAAATAGAATCTTGGTTGAAAAACTGCATTTTGTTTGGTTTACTAAGATTATTTTTTATCAGTATAAACATTTGTTTAATAACGTGAAAAATGTAAGTGTGAAAAATGTGCAAAAAACAGGAAAACATCAGGAAGCTGGCAAATACTGTTTCTTGGCACTGCATTAGTTCATTTACTGCAAAAGATTCTGTACAGAGGTCATAGCTTGCACCACCCAGTAAAACACAAAGCAGTTAACAATGGCTCCACCTACATAAACAGACCTCTTTCACTACATGAAAATTGTAGGTAAACAGAGGTGCCACTAATAATGTTAATTAAGGCTTTGCACCTGAAACAGCCAAACCTTCCTTAATGTTATTTGTAACAAGTTTTACATAATATTTCATGTCAAAATAGCTACAATTTTAAAGAAACGTCAATAATTAAATGCTAGCATGACTTTCTTTCACTCAGTGGTATTTAGTAGTTTTGATTTGATCCTCCAGTGCTCTAATAAATAGAAGAATTTTTTACTGCAGTATGTGAAGCCTAATAAATGTATGGTTTAATAATATGCCTGGCAGTCAACCTCATCAAATACATGATAACAAAGAAAGATCAGTGTGCAGTTTGATCACGTGTTTAGCAGTGGCTACCTGCAAACATGGTACCAATGCATAATTCATTGCCCAACTGCGATCTTCATTAACCTGTGCTCTACCTTACATTGCCTGGCAAAGAGAGGACATTGGAGGAGGTTGTACAAAGGGGCAGAGACAAAGGATCTCAGAGTGAATAAAAAAGATGGATGCAACAGAGATCTATGTGTTGTTCTAGGTCACAGTACCTGTCTCCGAAGTGACAGCCACATCTGAGTCACACAGCAGGTAAGGGTGAAAGAAGACAAAACAGGTGCCTGCAGGTCCACGAGAGCAGAGAGCACACGTCGGACTATCCATTCTTTAATACACAGCAACACATAAGAGAGAGCTCCTTAAGCCTTTCATGTTTCTTATGTCTCTAAATCCCTTTACTGTTTCTTGTTTCTGTCAGCTGATTGCTTGCTCTCAGTCTCACACGGGCACAGTGAAAGTTAATAACAGTAGACTTTATACCCTTGGTTTATGAGTTACACCGCTGTTGTAATCAAAACAGGTAATGAACTAAATGGTGCCTTTGCAAGGTGTAGATACACCTAGGTTAATATTAGGCTATTTATCGTATGCAGTAACAAAAATAACAATCACTTGTTGATCAACCTGTTTGGGAGGTATGCTCATGTTTGCATCATAGGGCTTGGCTTTTTAAAAAAAAAAATAATAATAAGGCCAATACAAAAAGTAACTTTGTTTCATGATTTTGCATCAAACACATGAAATGCACTTGCTCAAAAAACATAAAAACCGAGGCATCTTCAGAAACTACAGCATGTGCAGCATCTAATTGACGTTGTTGCATCTTTACCACTAGATGTCACCGTCAACCCAAGTTAAACTCCAATGGGGGAAACTCCAGTGTCAAATAAATCATCCTGTACACCAGGGGTGTGCCGTGACTTCTACACGAAGGCAAACCGCGAGGACCCCCACCTCCAATATAAACAAGCAGACAAGCAAACAAACTTTCCTTCAATCTTCCACTCTGGACCTCATTAAAACATACAATTCTGACAGCCTCTTGCTGCCCATTTTCTGGATGTCTACTCCTTTCTGTACTTCTGAGGAAGAATTGCTTATGTACTTATGTGTTTATAATCTAAAAATCTACTATTAGTTGACAATGATGAGTGGTGAAATTTAAAAAACAAACAAACAAGAACAACATTTACTTTAGCAAAAGTGTCAATAAAGCATAAAGAAAACACCTCACTATGCATAAATATGTATTATTGGCAAATTTTACATAAAGTATCAAAAGTAAAAGTATTTATTCTACAGAATCAGAACATCAGTGTTATATGGATAATTTCTATTACTGCTGTAGACACCTTTTATTCTGTTTATTCCACAGTAGTACATCACATGTTTGTAATGTAGCTGTCCCAAACCATGTAGCTGTAATGTGAGAGTCACATGTTTCTAAAAAAGAAACAAACCCATAAACAAATACAGCTTTTAACTGGGTCAGAAACACAGAAATATCTTTGAGAAGTATATTAAAAATATTTAATATAGACTGTGTGATGTTGTTAACTGTTTATATCAACAGCAGGCTTCAAATATTTTTGGAAAATTAAGTTGGCGTATAACTAGCTGTATCAAAACAGCGTTGTACATTTGGGAAATTGAGTAATTTCTCTGGTAATTTGAAATTGTTTGTGGAGCCTGCATCTCTTTAACTTCTTGTTTTTTTTTTTAACTCGACATGTTAGGAGCTCATCTCTCTGTCATTAAAGGTTTCATTACTAACAGGCTAAACAAGCTTTTAAAAGTCACAAATGTTGGCCAAGGTGGTTATTAAGAGAATAGTTATCTGTTAAAATGATAAACGTGAGTGCTCATTTTCTTGCTAATGCTTCTTCTGTTTCCACACAAAGCAGATGGTAACTGATCTCAGAGACGTGGAAGCAGTCAACAGCACCTTGTCTAGCATGTTAATCTACCATCAGTTTCCCATCAAAGACCAGAGGTTTATTCACAATATGCATTTACAAAAAATAGAAGAAGCGGCTGCCTTTTAGCTTGACAAACACCAGCCACTTACTTTGAGACCACTTACCCACACTGATTTTAGTCACTCTATCTATGCAAGAGGAGTTAATCCTGCTTCCAGAGACAACAGCCAACTCCAGCCAAAAGATGGGAGTAAAGTAAAGGATGCATGGGAACAGGCATGGCAGAAGACTGAGAGAAAAGGAGAGCAGTCACTTTACTTTGGTATGTTTAGTTGGTGTCTGTTTATAAGTGTCAGGCAAGCACTGCTTTCCTTGCTTGCCCCGATGGAACATCTCTGCTGTACACATGAGTTACCTACACAAATCATTTCATTCACATTGTAAAATTTGAACAACAAATGAAAACTGCAGGAAAAAAAATCACCTGCTGATCGTTTGTAGAAAACAACATTGACGCATTTAATAAAATGGTAATCAATCCCATAAATAGATACCATGAAAAAGTAGTTATTGTCATTAACAGTCAATATACTTCTTCCTAGTTATTCTCTTTCCTTTTAAATCTCCTCTGCATTTGAACAAAAGCATTTGACTCACTGAATTCAGGCATATCATGGACTAGTGAGTTCTAGTATATGATTACACTGAATCACAGTGATCATCTTTTACTGTATATGTTCATGATCGCCCATTCAAGAGGTCTGGCTGAAACAACACTACAGCACACTAGCAGATGTGACGTTGCTTTTGGCATGTGGCACTGTTTGCAAGGGTAGCATCAGGTGTAATATACCTTAATATTTTCATTATGTCCTCCTCCCTCCAGTGGTTTTGTTCAATCTTTTCTAGACAGGCGAGAAACTGTGTTAGTTTGCAACAGAAATATTAGTCAGTCAAGGTATTATTCATAGTTTTTATTATTCAAATTAATCTTCTTTTCTAATTATTACTATTGCATTAATGATAATGCAGCATTTAGTGATTCAAAGATGTTCTAACACCACCCCACTACCTGGGGCTGTTGCCCTGACAGATGGCTGTACCACTGCTCTATCTGTAAATGGAAGCTGTAAACCAGCAAGGGGGAAAGCAAACAGATGACAGCTATCCTCACCAGCACTGTTCTGAGGTACTTTGATGTAGAAAAAAGAATTGGCTGTAGGTCAGATTTGTCTGAATAAGCTAAAATATAAGCAAGCAACTGCCACCTGCAAGCATGTTTCTGTAACAGGATGTGGACACAAACATGGAAGAAATCAAAGCTGGTGCTGCTAGCTGTGCTGAGGTTATCCCAAATCTGTAACACTAATCTAAACCTTTTTATGTTTACATCTTTAAACATGATACACAGTGTCACTAATAGAGACGCACAAATCCACCAGTCAGGCATTCTTACATA